TTTATTTGTAGTTATAATAGGGTCAGATGTGACAAACAGTGCCTTTTTTTGGAACGACAGCTCCCAGAATTCTACAGCCTGCATGGAACAAAGTTCCTTATCTCTGAAGAGGACACAAAAGCTTTAGTGTTTGATCCAAACCAAATGCTTCTTCTGTAAAATGAGAGTTGGACCATAAAGAAGGCTGACCGCTGAAGAATTGATGCTTTTGAATTGTGGTGCTGAAGGAGATTCTTGAGAGTCCCCTGGACTGCAAGGAGATCAAACCTATCCATTCTGAAGGAAATCAACCCTGAGTGCTACTGGAAGGACAGATCCTGAAGCTGAGGCTTGAATAATTGGGCCATCTCATGAGAAGAGAAGACTCCCTGGAAAAGACCCTGATGCTGGGAAAGAGCAAAGGCAAGAGGAGAAGGGGATGACAGAGGACAAGATAGTTCGACAGTGTCATCGAAGCGACCAACATGAATTTGACCCAACTCCAGGAGGCAGTGGAAGACAGGAGGCCTGGCATACTCTGGTCCATGAGGTCCCGAAGAGTCGGACACGACTTAATGACTAAACAACAAGTATTTTGTGAGGAAAGTGCTAGTATGTAATGAGAATTTAAGTAAAGATTACCATGAGTGGAAGACAACATTTAGGATACCCATCCAACTAATCCGCCTGATTTTGGCTCAGCTAGCCTGTATATTCTTTGTTGCATTAGCCAAAGTGGAAACTTAAGGTTTTGCTTTGTGTAAAACTACAGACCTTTGAAACAAGTAGGGACATTATAATTTTGCATACTATTTAGGTGTACATGCAGTTACTTCAAAGAAGAACTCCAGTATTCCTAAGGAGGTAGAGTGAAGGAGAAATATTTTGTGCACTGGTTTTAATGATACTCTTAACGTGATTGCAGGACAGATATGTTTCGCATTCATGGAGGTGCTGTGAATAATCAGATTAGTAGCAGGGGCAGAAATTCACAGCAAGAAAGGAAAGCTAACCTTTTAATTTTGCAGAACATTGTTGATACAAAAAGAAAGATGTAATGAAGGGGAAAGGAAACACTTTTGTCTTTCTCAGCTATTTGGTAATGTTCTCTTAACCTAATATTCCATTTTAGCCCAGGGTTAGCAAACTCCAGGGGACTGGATGACCAGCGAAATAAAGCCCAGCTGTAATTTTGTGTGTGCTTGGAACATATCCTCCCGCCATGCTTCCTTACGCAAAATATATACTTTAGTTGTGAAATGCATTGCATTTCATATAGCTCTCCAGTTTTAGTGTTTAGAATTTCACACTGAAATTCTGCTGCCATGCACTTGCTTGCTATTTTGGTAACATCCACTCTGAAGAAGAAGTGTACAATACTTAGTTGCTGATCCTGGTAAATATGTTCTCTTGTAAATATTTTGGAGTGTTTCTCACCCTTCATTTCAATACACTCATCCAGTTGTAAACACTTCATAGCACAATACTTGTAGCATTTTTGGTACTCCCTTATTTCACAACCATGAATTACCTTGCTCAGAGTTCATTTCTATTGTGTGTGCTTGTGAACATGTGAATGTGGAGGTGTGGGTTGTGACTAAGCAAGACATCCAGGTTCTGAGCTTGTGAATTGTGCCATGGGTATTGGCTTCAATGACTGTGGTTGCTATGGTGCTTTGTCAGTCCCTCACACCTACATGGACTCTTGACACATGGGGAGGTACAGATCTCTCCATCTGTCAAACTACTAAACAGCATGAGCGCACTATGTTTGTTCTGTAGATGGACTTCAGCCAGCAACTCATTGTTCAGAATGTTGCTTGGTCTTCTCCATTGCAGCTATATACTAGAACAGTGGTTCCGAGTCTTGGGTCCTCAGATGTTCTTGGACTAAAACTTCCAGAAGCCTTCATCACTATCTGTGCTGGCCAGGATTTCTGGGAGTTGTAGTCCAAGAACATCTGGGGACCCAAGTTTGGGAACGGCTGTGCTAGAGCATTCAGCAGCATGACCTAGCTCCTCTCATGGCACAGATACCTGTAGAAGGAACCACTACTGTGTCCAGCTCACATGGAGGACGACATGTATTTGACTGTTCACAGATGGATTTTCATACTTTATGTGGGGATATGTGGGTGACCTGTATTATAGGCATCACATCAAAAAGTGCAGGGTGAGTGGTCAGGCCTCATTCCTCATTTGTTTGTAAGGAGTCAAACAGGGCTACTGTACGTTTAATCTGGCTGCAGAATGTCTCCCAAAATGTGGTTTATTGGGAGTTGTGTGTGTGAGAGAAACATCCATATGTCTGAACCCTCATGCATGATATATAATTAGGCTTCGTTCCCCCCACCCCAATAATAATGGGATTGCAATCTGGCCTGTGGCTTCCTGGATATGTGAAACCAAGGAAAATGCCCCTTACCAGTTGGTTGGGCCCTGTCCAGCAGAGGCTTTTGTCCTGTACTCATATTTTAGTTCTCAGTGCTCTTGCTAGTATTTTTTTTACTTGTCATCTAACCCCCAACCTGCTCCTCTCCATAACCTGTCAGCGCCCCTCCCTCAAGAGAGCGTGAGCCCCCTTTCCAGGATGCCAACTTCTTATGTGAAACAGCTTGCTCTCCAAAAGTCATTCCTGTGCAAAAACACTCTGTTCTTCTTGCCAAAGTTTCTTATAATTTAGGTATTTCCCCCCCCACACACGCCCCTTGCCAGCGTATGTTGACAAATGGCAAGTGCCACACTGCTTGATGACTGCACTGCTAACTTAAAATGGAAGAGGAAAAAAGATGTTGCATAGAGATATGCCACCAAACTCATTTCCTCACCAAGGAGAAGCTGTGTGGTGCTTTATATGGCATGTGGGGTAGACAAATGCTATGGGAACAAGTGACAAAGAGAACTCAGGATTGTGTGTGTGTGGGGGGAATATTTTGAGAGGGAAGGGAGTAGAACAGCTGGGGTGAAGCGACATAGCATGGGTGAGGTAAGGAGCCTTTTAACTTGATCCTTTCCTGAGCATTCATGAGCACGCGTATGTAATTTGGAGAAACCCTGCAGGAGTAGCGGAAAGGGTTGTAGCATCTTGTATAGGTAAATTGGGTCCATTGGGCTTATGCATATACTGTAGCATGACTACGCTAGAGATCTGTGGCCTGCCTAGATATGCCTAGTCCAAACTGTGTGGAATGCTGTATGAGTAAGATTTTCCTTTTCCAGAGTCATTCTTAAATAGAGCCTTTCTCTTCAGGGAATGGTTACATTAACTTCCTTCTTTGAAGAACTGTTCACCTGCCTGGGTATTGGCAGTACTGTCAGTGAATACATTTTTTGTTTGGAGATGGAACTGGTTTGGCAAGATTTCTGTTTTTTTTTCTGGGTTAAGTGGTGAAAAGGCATTACTTTTAGATTTGTAAGCAGTCTCTTGGATTAAGCAAATACATTTCATTCCCAGTAACTTCAAAGAGTTCGGATTAAAGCCTTCTAGTGCTTGCCTGTTTGTTCAGAAAAAAAGTATACTTCAATTTTCTTCTCCAGAAAAGGAGAAAACACAATAGAGCAAACATAGTCACAATGAGCTGCCGTTGGAGCACCTGTGTGACTGGCTAAAAGCAGCAGCTTTTGAAGTTGAATTATTGTGACCATGAAATTGGAGGAAACTCTGGACAAGGATAGGTGAGTTTGTGTTTATATATTGTGTCTAGAAAGCCAGGTTGCAGTGGAGAGAGTGGCAGGCAAGACACATTGGGGAGATTTTGATTCAGATCTTTACTCAGCTATGAAACTCACTAGCTGACTTTGTGGTAGTTTCTACCTTGCAGCCTGAACTACTCTAAACACTGGTCAGGGTGAAAATGGGAGAAGGAGAACTGGGTGTGGTGCCTAAACTAAGCTATTCAGAGGAAAGATGGTATATTCACGTTACAAAATTTGTTTCAAGGTTCATTTGAGAAGCAGATTTTTTCACTGCACAGTTAACAGTTTTTTGTTTCTGTGTGCAATCAAGTCACCTCTATATGAGGGTGATCCTATGAACTAATGACCTCCAAAAGATCCTGTTATCAAACCCATGCAGTAATAAAGATCAAGGAGATGTTCCTTCTACTAAAGTACTAGGATTTGGAAAATATGGTGGACAAAATAATGGTTAATTATGGTGAATCCGTAAAATAACCCATTTATAAGGGAGTATGAATGGATCTATAGCCTTGAGCAGAGAGATTCTTTGGGCTGCTTTTCATAATATATGGAAGAAATTCTAAAGGATTTACAACTGATTCCTTCATGGAGGATGCAATACTCCATCCCTACACCCTGTCCGTGGTAGCACAGTAACCAGAAACCTGGGAGGGGATACATGCCTCTGTTCCTTCTTTGTATTGTGCAATGCAGTTTGTGCTGTGGCTCGTTAAACTAAATAATTTTACTAAGTTCAGTAAAAACTGGTGGGGCTTTTGACTGCAGTAGAAAAATAACGTGCGAAGGTGGTGTGCATTTTTAAACACTTTGGAGTAGTCTCATGTTATCTACCCTGGAAAGGGTCACCATAAGTTAAAATCTATTTTATGGCACATCATCATCAGTAGTAGTGGTAGTGGTGGTGGTGGTAGTACTAATAACAGTTTTTGTAACCTTTTTGATTTTCCAGAAGTGGAAAGACTTATTCATGTGTCTCATGTGAAGCTTTCAAAGCCCACATCCAGTACTCAGGAATAATTGCCTTGCTTTAGCAACAAAGTTATGCATGTGTTCCTACCACATACTTTACATAGCTGCATAGAAGGCATGCACTTTGACATAGCTGAAATGTTCAAAGATGTTCCAGCTACATTTCACAAACATCATACGGGCAGCTGCTTAGGCAATGTCAACCTTGTAACCCTTTGTGTGTGAAAGAGTGGGTTTGAAGATTCCTAACGACTGAGAGAATGCTTTTACAGTAATTAGATCATATTTTATTGTCTTGTTTTTGAGAATAAAAAGAGGATGCATTCACTTAGTTTTTCTTTCTTTCTCCACAGTATCCAAAAGTGCCCACATCCTCCTGAAGCAGATGGAGATAAGGATCAGCGAACGGTGACCATCAACCTTTGTCATATGGGAAAGGCTTTCAAAGTCATGAATGAATTAAGGAGGTACTTTTATAATAATACATTTTGCATCATCTTGTATTTATTAGTCATTTGTTAATCAGAGTCCTTCACCTGCAATTTTACTCTGAAAAGAAAAAGGGAAAGGAAAAAGAGGCTTGATTCAGGCCTACCCTTCCATTTTTGTTGTACTTTTATCATCTCTTGGATCACATGGCTGCTCCTCATGCCAAGAATGAGGTTGCTGACGTTGGCATGGAAAGGACATTGATTTGTCAGACAACTCCCTTGAGAAAGAATGGAAGTTGTGGTGGTATGGAAGCTAGCTGTGGAGTAAGGGGCATCTGTTACCCATCCTCTTGTTGGTCTCCCCCCCCCCCCCCAACTACTGGACTGAGCTGTTGTTCCAGGGAGCAAGAGAGACAATCAAATTCATTGTGAGGGTTGGTGGTGAGGGACCCAGCAGTGGCTTCTTGAAGAACCGAAAGGGGTGCTAGTTAGGTAAGCTGTTGTCTGAAGTGAAGAGCTATTCAAATCCCTACAGAAGTACCTTCAGTCTAGTCAGTCTAGTACCATTCAAGAGATTTGCTGTGCTATGAGTTCATACGGTGGGGTTGTCCATCTTTTCTTTCAAAGCTGGAAAACATTTAGTGGGGCCCAGTTGCTTCAGTGGAGTCAGATGTCAGTGGCATTGAATAGCTGGTGAGAATCCAAGGTCTGTGCTGTGTGCTGTTGTTGGGCATGCGGCATGTACTTCGTAAATATAGTGTCCAAATTCCTCTTGTTGGTTTATACTTGCTTTTAAAAAAAATCATATGAGTGGCAAATTGCCGCTCATTACCAAGGTGCTGGTTGCGTTCTTGGGTGCATATTTAGAAGCACCTTGTTAATGAGCAGCAATTTGCTGCAACATTTACACAATTTCTCTTATGCAAGTGTAAATCAGCAATAGAGTTGTGGTTAACATCTTTGAACTGGTCTGAATTTCAGCTAATACAGATTAAAGCAGTATATAGATTGGGTTTTTTTTTTTGAAAGGAGTAATTGTATTATAATTCTTTGTTTTTCTGCTCTTTGTACTGTGCACCTACAATGCTGCTTTTCCAAAAATAAAAATCTTGTCAGAATTTTCAAAATATTTCCTAAGTAAAAAAAGGCATTACATGAAACAAAAAATGTTTATAACTTCCATACATATTTCTATTGATGCAGCTCTCCATATAATCAAGATTCTTTATTGTGGTTTCTGTGTTTCATGCAAATGGGCTATGTGCCTGCACAGACATGTATTCTGTGTGATTACATAGATGACCACTCGAAGAACCACAGTTATAGGTGAGGAATTTGTCCTTTTCTTCAGAAAAGCTGGTTAAAAATTCATAAAGCAGTTTTACTACTGACATTTATGCCTAACTGCTATGGATAAAAATGTTGGTTTGTTTCTAAATTTCTGACGAATGCTAACCTTCCTACCTACCAATTAAAACTTTTACATTGACTAAAAAGCATACCCCATCATAATTTTTACCAAATGTGCATGTTTATGGTCTTAGTTACGTTGTAATAATCCAAGGCAAACAATAAGGGTCTCCTGATTTTAGATGTCACAGAACATTAAGACTATCATTGCTATGTAGTCCTGTTGATAAAATGAGTAAACAGTGGTCTATGATAATCAGTATGCACTTTTCTGGATGTATGTGTCTGAGGTCATATGTAATCTGCTCCAGAGGAACAATAACTACATCTGCCAAGTATATTTAGAAATGCAGTAATGTACTCTCAGTGGGGGTTTCTGGACAAAATTAGTGTGATGCAGTAAAAAAATTGTGGATAGGGTATCTATTCTTTGCCAAATTGAAAGTGTACAGTCCTGATTGGATCATGTCAAATGTGTGCATACCAAGGCACATGGGTTACAGCACATCGAGAAGGGCTTGAAATGAGTGGCCACAATCCTGTTACTTAATACTCACTGGTGTAACTCTAGAGGTGTCACTTCAGTGGTGAATTCCTGCCAGTCAAGAAGTCAGAGCTCATTCTTCTTGTCACACAGTGGTCATGTGACTTGGTGAGTGACAAGAAAAACAAGAGCTGACCTTTTAATTCAGGGGTCAGGGAACTTCTTTACCTTTTACCCCCCCAAAAAACACATTTATTTACGTTGACATTACCCCCCCCCCGGCTCTTGCCATCAGCGGGCGACCCCTGGCCCTCCTGCATTCGTCCGGGACCTGTGGCCACCATCCGGGCAGCCAGTCTGGAGCTGTCACACCACTGGGAAACCACGTCCTTGGCGAGGGGAGGCGGGCACTGCAGAGCCGGCAGGTCCACTGGCCATGAGCTCAGGTGAGGCAGGGTGGGAAGGGGGCCTCCTCGCCAGCGCACCGGGCAGGTGGGCGTGGGCAGGAAGGAGAGCCCTGGCCAGGGCTCTGCCGGGCAAAGAGTCCAGCTGGCCTGGTACGCCACCCTCCCCTCCACTTTGGAGGCGAGGAGGACAGGTGGGTGCCCTGTGAAGTTCATCACCAGGGCTCGCTCTCCCTACACACAACGCCCGCCTACACACAACATCATCGGAAATAAAATGCCTGGGGGTAAAATGCCTGCTGCAACCATCCTCATTACCCCCAGCATTTTCATTTTTACCCAATTTGGGGTTATTTTCCCCTGTTCCCTGACCACTATTTTAATTGGTGGCAATTCACTGCTGAAATGTATAACTTCAGGAGTTATACCAGCTTTAAGTAGAATAGGATTCTGTCCTGTAAATAACATATCTGCAAGAGAAAAATGTACATGCTGATGTACAAACAAAATCTCTTGCTTTCCTGAAAAATGGAAAACTATTTGTGCAGAAGTATTCATAAGAGATGTCAACATGACACTTCTAATCAAAGCACGGACTCAGTTTAAACTATTTATTAAATTATATACTGTATGCATGTGCATCTAAAATGAACTTGTGAATGCATCTTTTGACCAACCTGTCCTTTAAATTTTTTATTTTATACCACTGGTTCCCAAATTTTCATCCCCAGATTTTGCTGGATTATATCTCTTAAGATTCCCCAGTCATTGGCCATTCTGGTTGGAGTTTCTGACATCTATCAACATTTAGGATCTAAATTTGTAACTAAGATATAATGTAGCTAAGATATGAATATATACAGGCTTGCAGCATGTTGTTTGATAGTAACTGCTGAGTAACTAGGCTTTTAAACTAGGACTAGGTAAATTCAGTCAGATTAGACTATTTTTCAGATTAACCAGTGGTTCAGGGAGATGGCGAACATTGCTAATCCTTCTTGAGGTGTTTTTTAAAAGTTTGTTTTCACTTTTTTATGTTAAGTCTTAAATATTGTTTTATTGCTATTTTTGTATAATGAAAAACATGAAGTAATAGAATAATGGATATCTCTCTCCCCAAACATAGGCAGACATACTGAATGCATATAGGACACATGGTTTCTAGAACTTCATTTTTAATTCAAAAAAAATTGGTCATTCTCAAAAAAAATCAAATTCATTCTGTCAGGCCTATTTATTAAATAAAAATGAATCACACATTTTAAACTTTATTTCTGTATCTATTAGTTCAATTCAGAAGGCTGGTACTTTGTTAAAGAAGGCGGATAAAGAGCAGCAACAGCAGAAAATTGCAGCTCTGTGTGCCAAATACCCCTCAACAGCAAAATGTGTAATAAAGAGAACAGAATGAGTGCTATTTCTGGATAAACTTGGGAAGTCTTCTGAAATGAGTTACCTCAGTTAGAGTGCGGAAAGCTCTTTCAAAAAAGATGAAAGTAAAAATAAATACAGTAATTTATTCTCGAAGTACAGTAATTATTAGAATACATTGTTATATGCCAATTCCTATTTCTAATTCCTATTGATTTTTGGTGGGGAAGCCACACCATCAATATTTGGCAGCAGGTTGCATTGCTGATTTTAAGTTGGAGCTTTTAAATATGGGGGACTATTTTTTTTACAGGCTGCAGAAATGGATGGGAGAGGCTTTATGCAGTTTACAGCCTCCGTGTTCCCTATCCCTGCTTTAAATCACTGGTTCTTAACCTTGGGTTACTCAGGAGTTTTGGACTGCAACTCCCAGAAGCCTTCACCACCAACTGTGCTGGCTGGGGTTTCTGGGAGTTGCAGTTCAAAAACATCCGAGTAACAAAGGTTAAGAACCACTGGTTTAAATGATACAGCCGTCCTAAAGAAGAATGCATGGAAAAGCAGTTCTGTGAGACTCAAACAGTGCCAAAATGATATGAAGTATCTTTCCAGTTCCTTATTATCTTGGCCTGAGAAGACAAGGGTACAGTAGTACTAGAATACAGCAATCTCTGTGCCAGAACACTTGGCTGCCTCCGTTACATACAGGATAGATTGGGATAATATAATATTATATTAATTCTGTTGCAACGCAAGTGCAGCAGAGGATATTGTGTGTTTGTGCATGGGCGGGTGGGCGGGCGGACAGCATTGTTTTCTCTCTGGAAGCTAATGGCCTGTCTTGTGCATGATGCTCTTCTAACCATACAAGACCACAGTTGCCCTGAGGCCTTTGTTGTCTCTGTCCTCCCATGCTTATTGCCAGTTTATGCTTTCGGCTCCCTGCTGCTCCTGCTGCTGAGCACTTCTAGGGCTCAACTGTGGCATTTGCTTGAATGCCTTAAATTTGTTTTTGTGTGTTTCAGCAAAAAACTAATATTTGTGGCAGTGTTCTGTTTATGGCTTTTTTTTTCCAGACCGAGGAGAGCTTAATTATAGTTGAGAGGGGAAGAGCTGCTGTTTGCTCTTTTCCTCAGAGCTGTGTGTGTCTCTCCAGGAGGCTAGTCTGTGGAATTCTCTGGGGAGTTGACAGAACCATGGGAGCAGGATGCCCATATACATTATGACAGTGGGAACTGCCACACCTTTGCTTACCTTGGCAGTCTTGGAATAGCAGGTGGCAGTGACAGCCACTATCCCCTTAGCCTACCTCCTGGTCATAGAGATGGATACAGGACGGGTGATTGGCTTGCCCAGGCTCAATGCTTGGTGGCCTCGGCACTGGGAACAGGAAACACGTGTCCTTTGTGTGCACGATTTGGCCGTTCATAGGGTCCTAGTGGCTTGACATGCACGTGTGTTGGCTATGGGGCTGGCTCAGGAAGGGTATTGGGAAGAGGACTGGCTGCGAGGGTAGGTGGTGGAGAGGAAAGAGGGGCACCTTATCTCTTTCTGTTGTACTCTTTTTTTGACAGTGTAGGCTCCACATTTGCTGCTGTTCTTTCCCCATCTGGGATATCCCAAGCCGATCGGCAAGTTCTTTTTGTGACCAACTCTGTATCAGTAGGATACAGAGGGACGCAGCAAAGCCTGTTGTGTTGGTGCCCATTCAGCCTCTTCATTTCCCCTTCCATAGCTGCCTGGTGGGCAAAGCAGGATAGGATTGGGTAGGTGGGTAATCAGAGGAGGCATCTCTCCCCCCACCCCACATGAAAAGATTGCTTCCAGCATCACTATCCGAATGTCTTAATTCCTAGCTTCCCTCTGGGGACCGTCCAAGAGTTAAGGTTAGCTTGCCTGCCTTAGGTTTGATTTTTTTTAATGCAGAGGAGAAGGGCTTGTAGAGGAAGGAGACTCAGAACAAGATTGATATGGATGCTGGTGGGCCACCGATTGCTGTGAACGGCATGTATGATACAAAAGACGAGGGAGGAAGAAAAGAAAAGAAAGCTCTATCCTGCCATTTCTATTTGTTTAAAAATCTAGTAATGGAACATTTCTGGCATTAAGACACCTACACATAATGACAGAGGAAATGCCTTTTGTAGAAGCTGTCGATACAAATTGTTCGTTCAGTATTCATTGAAATGGCATGTGTGTGTGTGTATGTCTTGCCAGGCTGCCTTTTAAAAATATCTCCACATCTTAAATTTGACCGTGTTTTGAAATAATTCTCCCAAGAATGCATCCTTAAAATGGAGTTTTCTGTCATGACAGAATGATTCATCTGTGACAGTGACGGGTGATGTTTGTCACGCTAAAGTGAACTGACTAGTGGAATCAACAGCAGTCCCCTGTGTACCCTAAAATTCTGATCAGGGTTGGTGGGAAAATCTCTGGAGGAGTTTTTTTTTTCCCTGGTACCACTAAGGTCTGCAGACATGGGAGAGGAGAGTGAAATCCCAGTTCCATTGACACTGCATCCTGAAGTATAGCACTGGATCTCCATCAGTTTTGGAGCCCTTCAGGTGTTTCAATGGATTTCTATCCTTTTTCTTCCCTCTAAACCTTATTCTCCATATGTAGTAGAATCTGGGAGTGGCAATGTTGCTGTACTGAGTGCAGTAGGATTACCATTAATGTTTAAATGCGATTTACTTGGCAGACTGCTTAAAGTTGTTTCATCTCCCCGGGTTAGTTCATGTTAATATCATTCATGTGAGGGAGAAAATGGGTCTTATTAATTGAAACATATTGTACTCCCCTAGCTTTTATAAGGATTAATGAGGTACTGCATGTTTTCACATTGAAACGTAGCATAGATCTTGGTGCCTCAGGCTATGAGATAGGTGTGGGGATTTTTTTTTTTAAATGAAGGAATTGTTAGAGTTACTGAAATGATTTGTGGAAAGCTACAGTTGAATGGATGGAAAGACTGAAGGAGCCTGGCAGTATAAAGAGCTTTTGTCCACTAGAAAGATCAATATGATTGTAGTGACTATAGAATACGTTTGGGTTACCTACCCACATTGTAGTAGATTGTGATATTACAGTAATACAAAAAGTAGAGGACTACATTTACCTTTTAATCTGAGCTATTCTTTCAGTGGTGGATAGTGAAAAATGTGTCTCTTTGTCTCAGCCCATTCTTCCTAAGAGTAGCCTGCTTTTTATTTTATTTTATTTTATTCTGTTTTGTTTTGTTTTATCTCTGCCATGACTCTACCATGAAAGCCTTCGAGAACCCACTAGACTAGTTTAAATAATTTTAAATAAAGAGTAAGGCCTCCCTGTAAATCTTAAAATCTGGTAAGGCTGTTATAGAGATGGCCTTTCAAACATCCGGTTGTATTTCTGTTCCTCATGTTCTGAGAGGGTGGCATAGGCCAGAACAGTACTTCAAAAGCTGAGGTATAATATGACATGGAAGCTACAACAGTCATTTGCCCCTCGCCTGTCTTTTGTATTTTTGATAATTCTGTGTAGTGAAAGATTTGTTGGAGGAAACATTGTTGCAGAGTTCATGTAGAAAGAATGCTATATGGGAACATTTGCTGATACCATGATATTTGGTGTGTTCACAGTAAGCGGCTTCTCTGTGATGTGGTGATTGTGGCAGAAGATGTCGAAATAGAAGCCCATCGTGTTGTCCTAGCAGCCTGCAGTCCATATTTTTTTGCCATGTTTACAGGTAATGTTGTTCCCCAAGCAAATCACAGTTAATGCCTGGTATATGTGTCAAATAATGTGTTTCCAAATGATGTACTAGTGTGACATGAGTCTTTATTTAAAAGTGTTCCTTTAAATGAAGGAGGATGAAGAAACAATGGGTTTTATAAGTGGACTGTATAAGCAGATATTCATAGGCATTTCTAGGTAGCGTCTCATGGCTAGGAGAGTTGTAAGCTGGGTTTTATTCTCCTCACGTTACACATGCTGTATTAAAAATTATATAGTAAGAATAGGGGGCATAAGGCCCTCTCAGATGTTACTGGATTATAATTTCCGCACCTGTAACTATGTTGGCTAGTACTGATTGGGATTGCAGCCCAGAAATGGTCATTTCTGCTGTAAAGTTTTTTTGTAACGGAAACCTAGAGCTGTTTTCTGTGTTAAGGCTGCTGTTGTTCAAGACTAGTATTTGTATAGGATCCTAATACTGAGATATGGGGATGAAAAATAGTAGTTAGCCTGTGTTTTACTGTCATTTGGGCCTTTTGGCCAAGGACCAAAATGACAGCAAATCTAGGAAGAAAGATTTGGGATGGCAATAGGCTAGAAGAAGGCCATATGATATTCCCTGCCATGTATAAAAAGCTTTCAGGCCAGACTTGCTCAGTGATTTGATCATCAAGGTAACTCATCAGCGACAGGTCTCTGCAAACTCAGAATAGCAATGAAACCCTAGCGTTTTATCCTGATTTGCCCTTATTTTGCTTCACCTTGCAGCACCCTCTCTTATGTGGTGGTTCTAATATGTAAACTCGTTCTTAAGATCTCTACTAAGAACAGAAGGAACTGCACGTTGCATAGTAGAGCTTTTGGATAGACTGTTCAGCAGATCACTGCTCTGAAATTCAGCTTATGTTTAGATGCATCATATACTCTAAAAGTGATATAGTTTGCTTTTATAGCAAAGGGTGACTCCTCTCCTGCCACAATGATTATTACTGTCATCAGTGTCTATACAACTACAGCTGTACTTAAGACAAGTAAGAAGTGGCAAAATATATGTATATCGACGTGTAACAAGGTACATGTGGGGTGTATGCAGTTTAAAAGAAGATAGGAAAATAACACCCATATAGGATACTTGTCTTGTGTGAAGCAACTGTCAGACACAAGACTGTGTTAGTTTAAAGTGCATTTTAATGCCTGAATTTTAATGCCTGAATTTTAATGCCTGCATTAAGCATATTTTGCCCGAAGATGAAATATGCTGTAGATTGAGACCAAATGCAGGTACTAAATGTGTTCATCTCTGCATTGTTTCTGGACATGAAAGCTACCATCTTGTTCCTGTTGGTGGAGGGAACCAACTGCCCCCCCACTTTTAAATTAAGATACAGCAGTGATGATTTCACCAGGACATCCTGTACTAAGGTGAAAAAAAGAGGGCAGGGGAAAGGCCTCTTCATGGTTGCTGTTCAGCCAAATAACTTTCCCACTGCTTTTGGCTTAACGATAAGTATTAAGAGATGCTCAGGGATTGCCTCAGCTCTTCCTCTCTCCTTTTCCTACATAATGCTTGCTAAATTGGCTGGCATAAATTTGGACAGCACAGATTATGGGGAAGGGAAGGTGTATCATTCATTGATAGAGAACATAGTTTCCATGGAGCCAGATGCCATTCCCTGGCATCCCTAGTTTGAAGGGATCAGGCAGCAGATGCTGGCAAAGAAGCATCTCTTCCTGAAAAAAACCCAAAAAATTGTTATCAGTTAGAGCAGAAATACTGGGCTAGGCAGATAAATAGTTTGGCTTCGTACAAGGCTGCTTCCCGTGTTCCTTTCTAAGAACTCTGCTTCATCCATGGAACTGAGAATGTGGAAAGCCGTGGCACCTCCCTTCTTGATTGGCTTGTGGACCCAGTTCTCTGTCAGTTGAGTTGCTGACTTTAGGCCTTCAGGTTCACAGTATAATATACTGCCAGGGAAAGTTACACAACTCCATGAAACCTAGAATTAGAGCTGTAAGCACCACCGATCCAGAGCAGAGCTATTTGGCTTTTTTTTTTTTAATGAATGCTTCAAATGCACAAAATAGCCTTGCCTGATATAATCATTCAGAATGCCTGGCCTGATATAATCTCTTTCTCCGTAGCACTTAAACACAGAAAAATCATCCAAAAAAATACAGAAAAAAACTACTGTGTGAGCTCAGACTCCCACCCTCAAGCTGCTTTTCTCTGTGACAGCTTGAGCAGTGATAAAGATCAAACCATTTCCCACTGAGTAAAAGGGCCAATTTCAGCTTTTCTGCTACAGGTCAAAGCCCTCTTATTCCAAAATTGTATTTATTTCACAGTTATGTAATCGCACCACACTGGGCTAGACTTTAGTGCTACAGCATTCTCTTGATAAGTCAGTTTTCCAGTTTTTTAGACTCTTCTGGATAGATACAGAGAACCATCTTACCATGTAAGTATTGTTCGGAAAATCAGTGTAACTGCTCGCATTTTCAGTGAGAATAGTACAAACCGCTTGCTTCTATAACCAGAAACCAATGAATTCATGATGGTTTCTGTTTATGGAAACGGGCGATTTCCCCTGTTCTCTCTGAACATGCGATTTCTCATTGATTTCCCAAATAATATGCACAATGTTTTAAGTAAGCATTTTGTAATTTTGTTAGTTAAGCAAAAAAAAAAAAATCCTATTATAAATATTCTTAGCCAATAACAAAAGGAAAACCTGCTTCAAAAGAAAGGTCTTTGCCTGCTTGCAGAAGGACAGCAAAGATGGGGCCCTCTCTTGTGTCCCCACCAAATGCACCTGTGAAGGTGGTGGGACCAAGAGAAAGGACTTCCCTTGTGATCATAATGCCCAGGCTGGTTCATAAAGGGAGATTCAGTCCTTGAGATAGCTTGGACCCAAGCAGTTTAGGACTGGATAGGTGAAAACCAACACTTTGAATTGTGCTTGGAAATGGATCAGCAACCAGTGGAGCTGTTGTAATGCGGGGTTATATGATTACTAACCAGGCACTGGTCACATTTTTAGGCACATGTCTGTTGTGCAAATGGGTACATAACTCATAATGTTACCAGTGCCTTATCAATTTTATATATATATGTAATTTATTTATTCGATTTATACCCTGCCCCCCTAGACAGCGTCTACTCGAGGCGGCTTACAAAATCATAAAATATCATAAAATAACAATAAAAACTGCACAATCAAATAAACAACATTATTAGTGGCTATTTGCTGTGGTGAATTATGCAGTGTAACTTGTGCACATGTAAATCACCAACAGACCATTTTAGCAGTTTCTCTGTTGTACCTTTGTACGTATTGTCAGTGCAAAATGGAGAGAAAATTGAGTGGGGAAAAACAACCTGAATAGGTATATGGACACAATAAATCACTGAATACTCCCCTCACATGACAAACTAACCAACATGATTTCAGGGATATCACTGGTTTATTGATTAAAAAATGTACACATCTTTGAACATCTCCAAATGTGCAAGTATTTTCAATATATGCTTCATGAAAACTGTTATTATTCAAATTTCCTGGGAGTCACCCCAGTACTACATGGGAAATGCAGTCCTGTGAGAGGCTGTCTCTATAGAATGTAATGGATGGTGGGACTATACTTCCCATGGAGCATTGGAGTGACTCCAAGGAAACACTGGAACTCCACGAAGCACAGAGGCATCTTCTTCAAAGATGAAACACATACAGTGAGCAGATAATAGGGGTAGGGATACATCTCTTTACCTTCTAGTTTCTGCTCTGTCACTTCGAGACTTCTCCAGAGGGGTAGGTCCTGAGCAAATTGTGGGAACTGGAGTCCTAGAAATCCAAAAATCCCATTCTTATTGAAGTGCTTCATGCGCTTGATATTTATTAATTAATTAATTAATTAATTAATTAATTAATTAATTAATTAATTAATTAATTAATTAATTAATTTTATATTATATTTTTATCCCACCCATCTAGACCCAAGGTATATTCTGGGCGGTTTACAAATTTAAAAACAATAAAACCAAAACATATATTATAGGTCCAAGATGACGAAGTATAAGAAATTAAGCTATGGCAGGAGGGAAAGCCCACCCAAATAGCCAGGTTTTATGTTTATTCCTGAAAACACCCAGAGAGGGAGCCAGGCAGATCTCCACTGGCAAGGCGAGGGGCCACTGCTGAGAAGGCCCTGTTCCTCGTTCCCTCCTTCTGGACCTCTCTCAGCGTTAGGCCCCTCATCCGCCCAGACTGGCTGGAACGAGTGACTCTGACAGAACTGGGTGGGAGAAGGCGCTCTGCCAGATACCGAGGTCCTAAACCATTTAGGGCTTTATATGTCATCGTAAGAACTTTGAAATCAATGCAGAAATGAATGGGCAACCAATGCAAGGCGGCCAGCGTGGGGGAAATATCTTGGTATCTTTTCATCCTGTAAGAAGTCTATCCACCGCATTTTGTACCACATTTTGTTTATATGGCACACTGACGTGCCATATAAGCAATTCCAATAATGGTGGGTCTGATTAATGGGATATTGTATTGTGCCCAAATATAAGCATGACACATGTAAGTATGGTATCAGATCAAGAGAATACAGGAATTGCTTGCACCAATTCTTAGTACATGACACAAGATTCAACTTTTTTTTGATCTTAGATGATAGTTTGGAAAATATATAGATAATGTAATTTTTAAAGGCTCGGAAGTCAAAGGACATCTCTTCCAGTGGTTTAGAGGAAAGGGGACCTTCCATTGGTAAATACAGTGGAAAGTGACTTGTTTTAGAGAACAGAAATTAAAGTAGCTACAGGAAACCTGCTGAATTTGTAGGATTGACTGCTGTATGTAAGCGTGAAGTGGTGGAGTGTGTTTCTTCAAAATAAACCATATAAAGCTCAATTTCCTATAAAATGCTTGATAGCAATGTGTTGTTCTCAGCAGCCAGCCGGCCACCCCTAGTTAAGCTCATAATTTGGTCTTGAAAATCCGAGGCTTTCTCTCAACAGTTTTTGGTTTATCCAGATTTCAGTTGTGAACCATAATTGGCCCTGGTTAAACCTCTGACTACATTGTCAAGAGAGTGACAGAGTCCCATCCTTTTCCAAGCCTCATTCCCTCCTTTTACACCTGCACGAGAGTTATCTGCAGTGCACAGCTATAGCAGTTTGACCCCAGCAGTTTAACTTGCGTAGCAGCACCCTATGGAATCCTGGGATTTGTAGTTTGGAAAGATGCATAGAAATTTGGTAGTGCAGCTCCTGAGGAGGAATTTCTGTGTGCTGTTTCAAAACGACAAATCCCATGGTTCTAGAGACTGAGCCTATGGAACGTAACTAGATGCAGTGGACTCCAAGCCATTTCTGTCTCCTTTCCACCTGTCAGCTTGGCTTGCTACTATTTTAGAAGCAGTGGCAGGAAGGAGGGAAGGGGATGTCTCTCCTCCTCTGCAGTTGGCTGACTGCTGCAGAATTAGTGACATGCCAGGAATGGCCAAGGATGAGGGAAGGAGTGGGAGGAGAGTGTACAGAAATGTACCTTTCCGCTTCCCGACCAGCAGTAGTAGCAATAAGTAAGATAAGTGGATGGGAAAGATAATAGGAGGCTATTTGTACGCGAGCAGATGAAATGGAAGATGATTGATTTCCTCCTCAGATGAAATTAAAGTCTTAATTAGAGAAAAACTTTCAGGGCCATAATAATCATTTTATATTTGAGTAAGCATTATACAGCTTGGAGATGAATGATTCTGAACTAGGAATAGTGAACAGTTTATCAGCATCTTCGCTCATCAGTAGAAGATTGCTCTTCAACTTCGCAGTTTCAGTCATTCTACTGTCTCTCCCCTCACTCTGTTTGGCGTGTAAAAGCCAGTCAGAAATTACATGCTGGTACTCAAGAGAAATTCTATACGATTTCGAGTGCACATGCATACTTTGGCCTTACCTGTGCTTCTTGTGCTAACAATATATAGTCAAGCACAGAAATGGAGGAACTTTCAGTGAAACAGTGACCCCCCACAAAATGCATGCGCTGGATCTTAAGAAAAGTGTAGTTATTGGTTCCTTTGTTTTTCTAGTGAGGTTTTTGTCAAAGGTATGGTAATAGCCATCTCTTCACATGTATTCCTTTTAAGAACATAGAAAAGAGAACCAAGAGCTTTTCTGTCTTACTCATTCTCTGTGGAAGTGAATGAGTAAGAAAGGGCCAAAAGATGGTGTGGAATATTGTCTGTTCAGTTCTCTGAGCTGTACTTAGTAGTTCTTCCACCCCTACAGCAGAGAGGCCTTCACGTCTACTGTGGAAGAGGCTAGCCGTATGGTGAATTTTCCCTTCCCCTCAATTTGATAGGTTATTCTTCAACTGTTTAGGAGGGCTCCAGGCATTCTCTAGTGCGGGATTTCAAGCCAAGAATTCCAGTTTAGCTCTGTCTGTGCATTGCATTGACCAAACTTTGCCATTTTTGTTCTAGACCAATCGTTCCCAACCGTGGGTCCCCAGATTTTCTTGGATAAAACTCCCAGAAGCCTTCATATGTGCAGGACAGGATTTCTGGGAGTTTTAGTCCAAGAACCTCTGGGGACCCAAGGTTGGGAAGCATTATCTAGACTTACAATAAAAAAGATATATATATATATCTCTTTCCCTCCCTTTCCAACCTTCCTTTGCTCTCCTGTTCTCCTTGGATGAGGCCAAGCAGCCCTATAAGGGCAGTTTGTCAGTGGACTTGCTTATTCCAGCACAGTATGACCCTAGCAGAATCAGGCTCCCATGGATGACTTGCTATGGGACGGCTGTATTGCCCACACATCTTGGCCGCCAAATGGGTTGAGAAGACCCACACAGCTTTCAGTTGTAGGAAGAGGAGCTTGGCTATGTTAATATTCATTTCTACGATTATGGCATTCCTTCAGGTTGGAAAAAGCGAGCATTACCTTTTAGTATTTCAAAGAGACAAGTGGTACTGTTTTCTCCTGAGACTAAGGAAAGAATCTTGTGTGCATATTGAAATTTTAAATGTTTTCTAAGAGGAGTGTCACCCCTGAAACCTGCAATGATTCACTGTTACCTTTTATGAAATGTGTAATTGTGTTGCAAATCCCCACCAGACCACCATTTAAACTGTTTTGGTTCTGTTCTTAATCTGTTTTCTTTTTGTTAGTACATGGTCTTTTGCTATATTCCTATAGCTTTGAGAATGGAATTTCTGGGATGCCCCCTCCCCCGCTTGGAGCCCTCTTGATTAGTTAAAGAATAGCCTGATTATCAAAGTGGGTGAGAGGGGCAGCCACTGTAAGGATTTCCTCCTTTGAATGTATAGAAAGAATGTATTACATTAAGTTGCAATATTTCTTTTCCAGAACATTTATTTGAAAATAGTCTCACATGTTTGCACTGACAAATGTGAAGTATTTTGTAGATCAGGAGAGACAGAGTTGCTTTGTAAAGTATGCTGATGGCTCGGTTTTTGTGTGCTGAGTAGGAACATTTGGCGGAACCAAGTGGTAGTTATATAAACAGTAAATACATTTAAAATAATACATATGTAAAATTGATTTTTCAGGAGATATGAGTGAAAGCAAAGCAAAGAAGATTGAGATCAAAGATGTGGATGGGCTAACATTAAGTAAGCTGATTGATTACATCTACACAGCTGAAATTGAAGTCACAGAAGAGAATGTACAGGTAAGAAAAACTTAAAAGGAGCTTTTTGGCGGTGGCCTCCTTTCTGGAGAGCTTCATCAAGACTCCTTTGTTGGTTTTTAATATGGACTTGGGAAACATCTTATTTTGGAAGGCATTTTATGAATTCTTTTAACAATTCACAATGAGATTCTGTGCATGTCTCATTGAGTTCAATGGGGCTTACTCCCAGCTAATTTGCTACTCCCAGCTACCACCCAGGAACTCCTTTAACTGGATGTGCCATCTGTTGATCATGTTGACCTTGTTGGAAGTGTGTATATCTAAAGTGTGAATATTTGCTGCAGGTAGCCTTTTCTATATAGGGTTTCCATGTGATTTAGCATCTGATTTTCAGGGTTCTAAAGTGGGCTTGGAAGTCCCAAGTCTAACCATTACTGCTCAAAGTGCATACTTTTCACGCATCTAGTCTCTAGCATCTCCAGCTGAAAGCATCAAGGGATGATAAAGACCAATGTCTGAAACCCTGGGGAGTTGCTGCTAACTTGGAGAGCCAATACAGATGCTACAGTTCTGGAAATAGTTTGGAGATTGTAAGAGCTATAGAAGATAGTGTCGTACAATTCCTTGCCCTGGTTAACTCTTTGTATGAATCACTGACTCCTAGGAGAGGCAGAGGTGGCTCTGAACTAGGCAGTAGCAACTATAGTTTTGAGCCCTCTACTGATTATTCTCACTTTAAATGATTCTGCTACACCTTCTCTTTTTCCTACACCTCCCCTCTTATCTGTATGATTTCTTCTGTAGCTTTCTTAAATGCTACCTGCAATGGGCAAGTATTTTTTGGAAGCAATTATTTCTTGGCAGAAATGGATTCCTAGTGTTGCTGTATTTTTCCTCTGTAATACTTTAAAGCAACGGTCCCCAACCTTTTTGGGACCACAGACCGGCTGAGCCTCTGAGGGAGGCAGGGCACCCCCCTGCGCTTGCACGGGCGCACACAGGTGCACTCGCTCTCTCAGGCGCATGCGCAAAGTGGTGGGGGATGGCCAACATGAGCACTTCCCCACCCTTTTGTGCATGCGCAGGAGTGCCTGCATGCCCACCCACCCCTTTTGTGTGGATGCTTGGGCGCATACACGAAGGGGTGGGGGAGCGCTCCCGCTGGCGCTGGCACATGTGTGCATGTACAAAGCAGCTGTGGGGAGGGGAGTGCATGCGGGGGCAGTGGGAGGTCTGTCTTTGAGGTCCGGTCTGGCTCAGGCCATGCACCGGCACCGGGCCGCGGACCGGGGGTTGACAACCTCTGTTTTAAAGACATCATTTGCAAAACTGAATTGAGCAGGTGCAGTTGAACTTCAAATAAATCAGAGCTTGAGTCATTTAATGATGCTGAATGACTAAAAGTGAGACATGCAGTAGGTGTTTGTTCATTGAAAGGCCCCCAGATCACTCAACAGTTTTCTTCATTAGATATAATTGGAAATACAACGATGTAGGTAATAGCTAATGTCCACATTGGTACTTGATCACCAAGTCCTTAGTGCCCAGTTCCTCTATGATATTAAATTTTTAGGCAATGTAACCCACAACTTCCAAGGCACTCTGTGACATCAGAGCAGATAACTCAATGGCATCGGGGCTGTCAGAGAAAGATCAGGTGACTGCCTAAGCCACATGTTGCAACACTCTTTATAGACTTCAGTGGAGTGCTTCTTTGACAGTATGCAAATAGAGAGTGGAAAATAAGAGTGAAGTCAAAGCAAGGCTCCCTTTGGGCAGGGGACAAGGTGGCGATGTGAGATGGAGGTGAGCCCTGCCAGAAGGAGGCGGCAATCGGATGGCAGCGGCAGCAGTCAATGAGCAGTCGCAAGAGGCGGTTGAGCGTGGCTGCTCCCTTGCCTCTGTCTCCATGTCCTCCTGCTGCTGCTGCCTCCGCCATCGGATTGCCTCCTCCAGTGCCACTCGTGGGTTCCCTTTGGGCAGGGGACAAGGCGGGGATGTGATCAGGTGGTGGAGGGGAGGCAGCAGGAGACGGAGGCGGAGCCACCCCTCGCGGCTGCCCATTGACTGCTCCTCCACCTCCAGCAAGGGACAAAATTAGGGGGTCGTTGTATACATTGGGGGATCATGTCCATGGAAAAATATGGTAAAATATTCTCTTATGGGAAATGGATTCCGCTTCTTCCTGAGCTGTTGAGACATATTAAATTAGAGGGACTTGGGATAAGGCTTATATTTCCTTACCTGTTTGCAGGACAAGTTCTAGGTATTTGAGAATTGCATTTGCTATGGTCCCTGTAATCTGCATGACCAGAGCTTAGTTTGAAGGAGAAGAAGAGAAAAAAATATAGGAGTGCTCCTAGCAATGGGGACTCTGCTCCTAGGCAGAGGAAGGCAACTGCTTCAGATGACCAAAGCTAGGTGGCAGCACTGGCAGCAACCCCTCCCAGCCTGGTCCTTCTGCTACGTATTCTCTTCTGTTGAAGGGCAGAGTTGTGTGTTCCAAAGGACCTGTCCTGTACCCTCTATGAAAGCTGCCTTGCATGTAGTGAATGACCCTGTCTTATTGTCAGTGTTGATGTAGGGAGAGAGGATATACAGTATGTTATCTTCTGCCTCAGACAACAAAAATGGTTTAAATCATGCCTGAGCTCAGTCCCTTCTGGAAGATTTTACCTCAGTGCTGAGTGTTTCAGGGCACAGTTTGTGGTTAGTCAGGGACATATACATATTTTGTATATTTTGGAGCAACTTTGAATAAGAACTGCTCATTAGAGGTGTGTGTGATGTATTATAACTTGTAATATAGTGTAGTTAAATCTTTGTACAGTATATTTGGATAATACAAAAGCTACGTACTTTGGACATAGCACAAGAAGATAAGACTCACTAGAAAAGATCATCATGCTGGGAAAAGTGGAAGTCCTAATGTGAGGTGGATTGCCTCAGTCAAGAAAGCCATGGCCTTGAATTGAGGTGGGCAGGGTTGTTAATGATAACACGCTTGGAGGTCATTAATTCATAAGGTCACCATTAAGTAAGAAGCATTAGAAAGTCAGAAGCCACTTACATCTTTCTTAAAATAAGAGACAGATAAGAACAAGTAGTTCCGGGTGTGTGTGGGTGTGTGTAGAAAGAAAAGTGTAGAATGACTGTCAAAGAGTAGGGATGTGAATCTTGCAGCCTCTCACTCTTGGTGAGAAATTGAGAGGAAAAAATAGCTCTCCTTTCTCCCTGCAGAGATACGTCTCTGTGTGATTTCCTCCCTCTGTGCAATCTCATAGGAAATTCCACCTGATTTCTTTGAAGTTTCATGGTTATTTTTGTTTGTCTGTTTTGCTTGCTTGTGTCTGTGTCTCTGTGTAAGAAATTCGAAGTGAAATAAGATTACAGTATTGCAATTCATGTACAAAATGGCATGTTTTCTGAACAGGAATCACTACAAAGGACCTTAAGCTGTGTAGAACTTGTCAGTTTCCTGTGCAGAGCAACAGGAGAAAGTGATTGTGTTGGAGGAGGGGCTGATGAGGAAAACCAAAACTAGAGTCTTGTTTTCATGGGAAGCTGGGAAATAACAGTGCATGGAAAGGTCTCTGGCCAGACTTGAAAAATTGCTTTAAAGAGATATTTTTTTGGAATACGTACTCGGTGTCTGGCTGAGAGCACAATTTTGCATGTGGATGAAGACTGGGAGAATACGAAGGGGAATGTTCTACATTTGAGGTGTGAGTTGGAATGACAAAGACAGTTTGGGTTGGAATAAACTTTAAGGAATTACAGCTGAGAGAGATTGTGTTAGGATCTGTGGGACAAGTGTATTTATTTTACGTTTAAGTGTATGTAGACCTGAAGATCAGCTGTGGAGGAACTAGTAAAGATCATTAAAGGTAAGGATGTGTCACTGGAGACGAAGACCAAGATCGCCCACACTCTTGTCTTTCCGATCACTATGTATCAGTGTGAAAGCTGGACTGTAAAGAAAGCTGTAAGGAAAGAAAAATGATATGTTTGAAATACAGTGCTAGAGAATAACTTTACTGGACTGCCAGAAAGACAAACAAGTGTGTCTTGGATCAAATCAAACCTGAACTATTTCTGGAAGCAAAAGTGATGAAATTGAGGCTGCCCCTTTTTGGGAACATTATGAGAAGGCAAGATTCTCTGGAACAGACAACAATAATGCTGAGAAAGGTAGAGGGCAGCAGGAAAAGAGGAAAAACAAAGACGAGATGGACTGACTCCCTAAATGAAGCCACAGCATTGATCTTAGAAGAGCTGAGCAGGGCTGTTGAGGACAGGACATTTTGAAGATTCTACCAGAGATTGTGATGTTAGATTAAAAATTCATTCATTCAAGTTAAATGTTTGAAAATTGAATAAATGACTTGTCACAGTTAACACTGATATATTATGACATTACTAATTTAATAAATTACACAATAATTTATTAAATTAGTGTTCTCAAACATATTTGTTAAAACATTAGTATTGATGCCATCTGCAGAGAGTGTATGCCAGTGCATTCTTCTCCAAACTTTTATCATTGTATTTAAAGTGGATAGCCAATGTCTTAGTTCCATAAGTGCATCTGGGTGTGGTACCAGAAAGTGTTAGCTAACAAAGATGAGAGTCTGTGCTATTTCTCAGGGTTTCTGGAAATTAATGCCTACAACCTCCAGCAGCTGAAGGTTGCGAACTAATTCTCAGGAAAGAGACAGTTGCCCACTCCTAGTCATATCTTTGCAGCACAACTCTAGAGAAAGCTTTGCTTGAAAGTGGAAGTTTCTTGATGAGCTACCTTACAGACCATCATTTCAGGCAGCTCCCGAGTTTATAGTGACAAATAGCTTGCACCCAAGACAGTGCCACACAATAGCCAACCACTACACCCAAATCAGTTCAGTACAGTTGTCCAAGAATATGGGAGAAGGGGACAAAAAACACAAGAAGCTTCTGTCTCCCATGGATCATTTTGAACAGTCTGATTTTTAGAGCAAAACCATGTGTTGTGATAAAAGGAGATGAGATGGAGGTATCAG